AGGGTGCTGATACAATGTATCACAGAGCATGAAATCGGGGTGGACCTCACCACCTGATCATAAACCTCCACATCAAGATCCAGGTGCCAAGGTCCACCCCTCCATCTTTCATCATCATCTTTCTCACTGACCCTTCATATCCTAAACCAAAAAAGGCCTACAGGCTTACAGGACAGATTCTGAGAATGTGATAACACAGAAAATGGAAAAGAAAATAAAGCTAGGTTGGAGTCAAACTACACAACACCTAAAGCATACACCAAACCAGAAAGTATGACAGTCATGTCAACTTCTTTAGGGCATGTTTAGCGCATATCCCTATTGAGCTTTCTTTCACCACCTGCCCTTGGGAGCCATCATGAGCTGGTTCATAGCACTGGGGCTGGTACCCATCCAACGGGAACTCAACCCACTCAAAATTTCGCACAAGTGCTTCCTTGCCCTAACATAAAATGAATACATAAGGTAAATCTTTAGGAGGGGCTCCAAACGTTTCATTTTAGGTTTTAAGTAACTAAGTACCTGGATTCTAGCACGGCGAATGTCACGAACTTTGCTAGAGTTGAAACGATCCCATTTCTGGTAATTTGATGCCAGGCAAAACTTCCAGGCAGCTTCTGGGGTAGTGAAATTAACAAAAGCATACCCTTGATTGCACCCGCTTCTACATCTCGAGAGAAAAAGTAGAAGGAGATGATCATCATTGAAAATCAAAAAGAAAAGGGAAGCAATAAATAAATAAGGATAATAAATGAAGCAGATGGAGTGAAAGTACTTATGAATCTTGACGGTACACATACCCAAAGTCGATAGGCAGATAGAGGAAATCAAATGCTGACACTGTAACAGAGGAACCCTTCACTTCTTCGTTTCCCTCCTGATTCTCGGACTTACACTGCTTCAGAAGAAATTCCTTTAACATTTCCCGCCTGAAAGGAAAACAGACATACAGGAATCACACAAGAATCAGAAAGTGAAGAACTTTACAAACATTTCATATGCCAAGGAGACGAGGGGAAAAGTTCATACGAGTATTGATTTGGGATGTTTCTTATCATAACCGTAGTTTCTTCCCCATCAGGCGTCAAGGGCATCAGCCTCTGCTTTGGTTTGTTGGACGCCCGAGTTGGAACAGTCTTTTGCCTGCCACTGAGAGCTCTAACATAGTACTGCCTCCGATCATCTTCCCCATCAAGATTTCTGTCCTTTACCCTCCAATGGAGCTTAGGAGCTTGAGTCCCAGCTCCAACAGCGGCAAAACCATCTCCCGTATGAACTGAACTTGTTCTCTTTGCACGATATCTGCTTTTAAGCTTTTTTTTAGCTGCCCCCCCGTTTCCACTGTCTGGAATATTCACCACTTGCCCATCCAACAACTTTGATCCCCGGTACCCCCACACAACGTAAATCTCGGTCGATGGACCAAAGGGACCACCGCGCGGCGGCGGTTGCAGGGTAATAGCTTCGGAAGGTAGGACATGAGGGAACACAGGGGTTATGTTGAAGTAAAGAGAAGAATGTGGGGCTGCTGGAAATGGAGGTTGAAGGACCTCGGAACGGTGATTTAGGTCTGGTGTTTCATATGTAAATGATGAAGGAAGATTTGGATAAGGAGATGGTTGACGGATACTGTAGTACTCCAACGCGTCTGGATTTAGGCCTCGAGCGACGCTGCAGCTAGCCATCGATATTTCTTTATTGAGTGAGAAGAGAACAGAGACAGACTGCGTAATGGGAATATATATAGACAGAAAAACTGCCCTATTGCAGGGTTTGGCTACCACCGCACCCAAAGCGCCCGTTTTACGGGTTAGTAAGATAGTTTTGATTAAGAAGTTGATAAGAAAAATATTATATAAAAAAATAAAAAAATATTATTAAAAAAGTTATTAAATTTTGTTAATATGTTGTTGACATTTTATTAAAATTTTTTTTGTGATTAATAAAAAATTAATATAAAATTTTTTAAAAAAATTATGAAGTAGGCCTAATATAAAAAAGTAATAGAAAATTTTTTTAAATAGGTGAAAAAAATTTGTGAGTTAAGAATTATGTAAAAAATAAATGTTTAAAATGTTATTTTTATTTTTTATTATAATATTTATGTTTAAAAATATATAAATAATTTTATAAATTGAAACATTTTTTAAAGTGAAGAGAAAATTTGCCAAAATCTCCCAAAGTAGGTCAAAATGTCAAATCCACTGTCCAATGGTAATTGGACAATTTTATCCCTCGTACACAAAGAATTAATATGGTAAAATAATGATAAATAAGATTAAAATTTGAGATTAATAAAATAATATAAATTATATTATTTAAAATATTAAAAATTAAATTTTATATTATTTAATAATTAATTTTTTTACTTAAATATTATAAATTATAAATTTAATAATATAATTTTTGTCATATCATTTATCCTAAATTCTCCTTCTAAATTTTTGCCCTCTTTACCATTATTATTCAATATAGTAATATCGGCATGCAAATCGTCAAATATTAATTACCAAACTAAAAAGATTCATTTATGTAATAATTAGTGTTTTATGATCTATATTGTATTGTAAGATACTTTTATAATATATATTTATTTCAATATAAAGGATTGCTTAATTAATTAAAAATTTCAAACCCATGTCTGCATTGAATATATCAGGTAGTAAAAATTGGTATTCAAATTTCAAAGTCTCTACTGAAATAAAGTAGAGAAATTCTCTTATGAGTAAACAAAATTTAAAATTAATCATTTTTTGACATTAAAATCCGCTTTTAAGAATAAATATGACAGGTATGTATTTTATATGGGTGACACCAACAAATTTATTAATATCATTAATTTAATTATAATTGTATCAATACATAATTTTTTAAATAAATAGTTATGATATTTAAAAATATTTATTCATAAAATTATTTTAACTTACTAAATATTAAGGAAAAAGAAAAAAATAGGACATCCATTCAATAATAACCACATTACATGTAAGACATGATGTGAGTTTTAATTTTATTAAATTCACCATGTGATTATTATTAAACAACTTTTAACATTTTTAATGTTATGATATTTTGATTTTTTTTCTTAAATATTAGTTATTTTATCAATTATCATTTATTTTTAACAAATAAATTGAAATATATTTTAAAAATTATTAATGATCTCAATAAATTAAATAGTGTTCATAACGATTGACATATATTCT